AGTGGGGGCTCGTGGAGCACTCATCCTGGCGAACGCACCCAACCACACTCGGGACGAACCCAGACGAGACCACGAAGTAGTCGAGCGTGTGCCACTTCGCCCCCGACCCTCGGCAGGTAGGTTTGCTAGTGTAGACGATCGTGGCCCCCACGGAGGCCGCCCAACCAGATTCCAGAAGGATATGTGGCTCCACGTTCCAGTCACCTCCGAGAATAAAAGGCTGACCTAACGCCAAGAGGGCCTCACCGAGCTGCCTGAGGATCCCGAACGAGACGTCATCGAGGTCCCCGCCCGTGACAAGATACACGCTGCCTACCAGGAAGCCGCCAGAGACCAGACCATTGACCCACGTCAGACTGACTCGCTCAGAAGGCCAAGGGCGCTTAGGGATAGGGGCCTCAGCCAGGCCTATGTGCGGTTTGACCCCGACGACAATCCCCGACGAGAGGCCCCCACCCGTCGAGACAGATGGCGAAACCTTGGCCTTCCAACCGAGCCGACCTAGCGAAGTCTCCGCCATGCCCTTGTCGGCTGGAGCGACTGCCACTTCCTGCAGGAGGACGAGGTCGCCTACGGCCTCCTCCTGAAGAAAATGCTGACAGGAAACCCAAGACGTGGTGTTACAGGTCGTGATCGTCCACGTCTTCACTGAAGAAACTGCCCGCGAATTACCCTGGAGCCCGTCGGCACCATCATGAGGCTCGTCGGCGTGCGGATCAGGACCCCCAGCCACAAGCTCGCCAGTATTCGAAGATGCCGTAGCCCTGGGCCTACAGTCTACCTCCACCTGTGTCTCCAGGCCCCCGCCAAACACAGAGGGAGACGAGGGAAGGAGGGGTAAGTTGGCGTGCAATGGAGCGGGCGGCCACTCTGCTGAAGGGGCGGATCCCCCGTGCCAGAGAGGCCCGACCAACCGGAAAGTTGGTGCGCTAGCGTCGGCGGCGGCGGAGTAGGGGCATCCACCACCTATTTTGCACAGCCTGGTCCAACCAGCAGCCTGGCGGGCGACTTCGACGGAGTCGCCGAACAAGTCCCGCTGGTGGTCCTGCTCGCCGTCGTCGCCCGCCTCCACGCCGACGTCATCGCTGCTACCCACGCCCCCCTCGGCGCTGGGCCCCCGCGCGACGCTCGCCCGCTCCTGCTGGTCCACGAGCGCCACCTGCTGGAGCAGACTGAACCTCGGCATCACGAGCACCTGATCGGCTGCGACCCCGATCAAGAGGAGCAGGCAGCAGCCCTTGTGCATCAGCCCGCTGCAGTGCCTGGCGGGCCGCCTGCTGCACACGCGGGTCCTTAGCGTCGGCGAGGGCCGGCGGTGCCGCCATGTCCTCATCATCGGAAGCCTCCGCTGCATCCCAAGCCTGGCCACCGCGATGCAGCCCATCAAGCTCGCGAGCTGCGAAGCCACCCGGCGGCGGCGGCGGCAGGGCCGCCTGCGGCGGGGCCAGCACCAAAGCCGTCGAAGCCGCTCCGGCCGCGGCTGCCTGGGCTGGCGGAGCGGGCGCAGCAGGCTCCGCCGCCACCGCAGGCCGCTGGCCTGGCTGCGGCGGTGCCCGCCGCGCAGGCTGAGGCGCGGGCTGCGGCGCCCCGCCGGGGCCCGCAGGCGCGTGGGCGCCCTGGGCCCCCGCCATGGCCCCCAGCAGGCGCTCACAGGTCTGCACCATGGCGGCGATCTCGGGCGGCAGCGCCTGGCCCACCGCCGCACGCGCCTGGCCGAAGGCGGCCTGGGCGGCCTGCAGCTCATCACCCAGCGGGCCACTGGGTGCCAGAGCCGCCGAGGCCCGAGCCCGCGCCGCGTCGCACTCCTCCTGCAAGCCTCGCACCGCCTCCTGCTGGTCCACAACCTGGACCATTGCCTCCGTGGCGGCCTGCTCCAGCCGCTGGAGGCGGGTCCGCGCCTGGAGCAGCTGCGTCGACAGCGTGCCGACGTCCTGCGACGCCTGCCACACGTCCAGCGCCGGCTTGGCCAGCCCCGACGACGCCATGGCGCGACGGTGCAGGAGCCTGTCGCGCTGGGACTGCGTGAGCGAGCCGCTGAGGGCGCGGAACTGGTCATCGTCGAGCGCCAGCCACTCACGCTGCTCCTCGTCGGAGAGCGGGCGAGGCTTGCCATGGCCCTGGCCTCCGCCGCCCCACACGCCGCCAGGAGGGCGAGGAGGACGATGATCAGGCATCGGAGGCCTGGGAGTGCCACAGACGTAGCACGCCGTCCTCCACTCGTAGTTGTCCTTGCACTTGCACTTCTTGCTTGGACACGCCCAAGCATCCCGTAGCCACCCATGACTCCCCTTGGCCATCGCACTGCCCCAAGGAGAACGGACCGCGCACTCGGGTACAGTACACGGTGTAGAATGTGAAAGTATGCGCCGCAGGCGCACGGAAGGCAGCGGACCCCTGGCTGGGCAGCCGTCTGGGGGGCCCGCGAGCGTCGGTCGCCACCTCGCGCGTGGGGGTTCCACAAAAGTTACTTGAGCCAAAATGGCTACGGCCTCCTCCTCCTCCTCCTCCTCCTCCTCCTCCTCCTCCTCCTCCGCCGCCTCCTCCTCCTCCTCCTCCTCCTCCTCCTCCTCCTCCTCCTCCTCCCTCCTCCTCCTCCTCCTCCTCCTCCTCCTCCTCCTCTCCTCCTCCTCCTCCTCCTCCTCCTCCCTCCTCCTCCCTCCTCCTCCTCCCTCCTCCTCCTCCTCCTCCCTCCTCCTCCTCCTCCTCCTCCTCCTCCTCCTCCTCCTCCTCCTCCTCCTCCTCCTCCTCCTCCTCCTCCTCCTCGTCACCCGCCTTATCACCCCTCATCCACATGCAAATGCGACGGCTCATCTTAGAAAGATCGGAGGTTGGGAGGTGAGATCGAAGTGAAACGGAGACCCCATCACCAGGAACTCGGTCTCGGTTTCGCGCTCGTGTCGCGCGTGCGGGCGAGGCGAAACTACGTGCACGGGCGAGAGGAATGAACCCGCCGCGACAAGGGCAAAACCAGGCCAAATGTTGCTCCCCCCAGTTGGCCGGCGGTGGCGTGGGGGCGTCCCGATAGTGTCCCGTTGGTGTCTCGATGGGCCCGCCCTTGCCAGGGCGAAGCCCAGCCAAATGTTGCTCCCCCCGGTTGGCTGGCGGTGGCGCGGGGGTTTCCTAATGGTGCCACGATGGTGTTCGGCCGGTGTTCCGATGGTGTCGTTGGATCGATAGTGGGCTGATAGATATATAGATCTATGGTGAGATCGATAGATGTTGGGATCGAATGTCAGATGGGTAGCGAGACATATTTATAACGAGACTGGTAGATAAATGGTGGGATCGATTGCGGGAAAGATAGTGTGGTCGATAGATATCGAAGACGCCTACGGCGAATCACCGCCGCCCCCTGCCTTTTTGGAAGCGCCTATGTGGCCGAACGTTGAGGCCAGACCTGCCAAGCTATCGGACCACGTGTTCCCCGAATCGGTTTGGAAAGCCTTCGGGGAACACGTGGGCATCTTGAAGGTCATCTTGGCCGTCTTGGAGGCCTCTTGGGCAAGCTTTGGGCGATCTTTGGGGCTTTTTGGGCCGTCTCGGGCCAGCTTCGAGCCAACTTCGGCCATCTTGGTGGGTTCCTGGCACGTCTGAAGCCGTCGGAAGCCGTTTGGGGGGCCTCTATGGGCCGACTTGGGGCCCGCTTGGAATGCTCCAGGGCCGTCTTGGAGGCCATCTTGGGCGTCTTGGAGGCCATCTTGGGCGTGTTGGAGGCCTCTTGGGCCCTCTTGGGGCCCTCTAGGGGCCATCTTGGAGGCCACTTGGGCCATCATGGGGCTCTCTTGGGGGCCTCTTGGGCGATCTTGGGGGCTTCTTGGGCCGTCTTGAGCCGTCGGAGAGCCGAAAAGGCGCAAATGCCAAAATCCTTCAAAAACCAATGGAAAATCAATGATTTTGGCCTCTTCGGACTCTCCTGGAGGACCTCTTGGAGGCCTCTTGGGCCGTCTGGGAGGCCTCTGGGGGGCCTCTTGGGCCGTCTTGGGCCGTCTTGGACTCTCTTGGGCCGTTTTGGAGGCCGTCTTGGACCATCTCGGGCGGACTTGGAGGCCATCTTGGGCCATCTTCGCGATTTTTTGAGGATGTCCCGAGCGAAACGGCCGTTTTTGGGCATTGACAGACGCATTTGGGGAAATTTACGGGTGGCCGGCGGGACGATGGCCTTCGGCTCATCCCGCCACCGTGCCTGGGTTGTGGGTCAGAGACCTCTTGAGTGTTCGTTGGGATCTCGTGGTAGATCTCTCGGGGGCCTCTCCAAAACAGTTTTTAACGCAGACATGCGACGACGATTCGGACCTCTCACAACTCTATAACTTTGCGCGTCAGAAAAAAGATTTAGAAGGCTGGGCATGCGGCCAGCTGTCTAGCGGCATCCACACGAAACACAGACTCAGACTTACCCGTACAGCCCCGTGCATGCGCAAGAAACGGAGAGGCTGCTCCAAATACTAGACCTGGATGCAGTTGCCCGCGCGACTGCATAAATGCCTGCACGTATCTACAGAACACACAGTGACTCTTGGCGCTCCACCAGCACCGCGGGAAACCCTGCTCAAACAACCAGTGGAGATACCGCGCAAACGCATGTCGACAGACGGTCCGAACAAAGACGCGCGCGACTAATGATTTATCAAATCGTCGCTCGGTGCTTCTGCAGCGAGCAGTCGGCATCCAAATACTACACTACACCACAGTGGAAGGACGTAGGCTCCAACCTATAAATGTCCTGGAGCACCCCAAAACAAAAATCGCCGAATGTAGCCATCTGCACACGCGGAGAATCACATAGATGCAATGTTGCAAAGCCACGTGCTCCGCAGGGCAGACTGACACGCCCAGCTAAACAGGGAAGAACAACACGCTACAGATGGCAACCGGTCTTACCATTGCGAGCGCAGGAATGGGGAGAAGACATGGGAAGCGGTGAGAAGTAATAACACGGCGGTGGCGATGGCCCATGGCCACGGCGCGAGCTGGAAGGCAGGCGCGCACAGGCGCGCGTCAGAGCACCACCTGCGCAGGTGCGGGCAAGCGCCCCCGCAGCAGAGGCACCCGGTGGTACCCGTTGTACAGGTACCCGCCGTGGGGGTCTCCGACGTCCGGCTGCACGCCGCCGCGGTCGTCCACCGCGCGGCACCAGAGCTCCGTCTGGGGAACCCCCAGCGCCGCGCCGCCGCCCGCGTGCGGCAGCGGCGCGCGCCCCTCGAAGCGCACCCAGCCGCGCGGGGCGGACGAGTCGTCGGCGGGGACCTCGCCGTGCAGGCAGGCGGCCGCGTGCCAGCTCTGGCCCCGGTCGGCGGACACCTCGACGCCCGCCACGGCCCTGCCCGAGCCGCCGGCGTAGGCGACGCCCCGGACCACCACCGCCCTCGCCTCTGCGGGCGCGTAAGCCCCCGGCTCTGGCGAGAGGATGACCGAGTTCATGGGCAGCAGCTGGACTGGCTCCAGGCTGGGCCTGTCGCGGTAGTAGTGGCGCGTCCAGGGCGAGTCCGTCTGCCCGCCGACGGTGATCTTGCTGAGCCACTTCACGCTGCGGGCGCCGGCCACGCCCGGCAGGAGAGCGCGGACGGGGAAGCCGTGGTCGGGCGCCAGCGGCGCGCTGTTCATCTCCACGGCCAGCAGGCAGTCGCTGGAGGGGTCCATGACGTGGCGCAGGGGCGCGGAGGTGTAATAGCCGTCGAGGCCCTCGAAGGTCACGTGCAGGTCGTCGGCCTCCGCTCCGGCCCGCGGGGGCAGCAGCTCCCGCAGCACGTCCGCCAGCCGCGCGCCGCGCCACCGAGCGTTCCCGAGCATCCCGAGCCCCAGGTGCTCGGCGGCCCCGCCCACGAAGCCGGAGGCGTGGACGCCGTTGGCGGCGATGTTGTCCGCCGCCCGGTTGCCCGCGCACTGCATCACGGAGACGACGCTCGCGGAGCCGAACCTGGCCTGGAGCTCCGCCAGCGTCAGGGCCGCGACCTCGTCCTCCCCCACGCAGAGGGTGATGGCGTGCTCGCTGGCCTCCTCGGGCGGCACGTGGGGCACGGGGGCGTGGTTGCGCACGTAGAAGGCCCCGCTCGAGGTGAGGTACGACGACGCCAGCTCGGCCGACCGGGTCTCGGACTGGTAGGGCATCTGGCTCAGGGGCGAGGCCCGCGCCCGGTTCTCGGCCCGGCAGGGGTCGGCCTGCTCCTCGGCCCACGCGCCACCCCCGTAGCGCTCCTCCTCCTCCTCCTCGTCCGGCCGGAAGTCGACGAGCCGGCCGATCCGCAGCCTCTCCAGGGCCCTCGGCACCTCGGGAGACATGTGGTGCTGCGCCCAGTGGGCCCAGAACCCCTCCACGGGGCCGCCCGCCGCCTGGAGGAGCAGCCGCCCCCCCGGGTGCTCCTCCGCGAGGTAGCGCGTGACGTCGTACACCCCGTCGCGGTACGTCACCCAGACCTCCCCGCCCTCGCCGCGCCCGTCGCGGGCGCCGACCTCGGCGCGGGTCAACATCCGCTCCCCGCCCCTGCCCGCCGGGCCAGGCCAGCGCGGCCCGCGCAGCTCCCCGGCGCCCCGGCCGGGGCCCGCGGGCTCGCGCGCGAACCAGCGGTAGCCGGCGTGCCAGCTCTCGGAGCTCTCGGCCCGGAGGCCGCCGGCCGCGCCGCGGCGGCGGCGGCGCAGGTGCGCGGCCGCGGCGGCGGCGCAGCAGCCCCCGAGGGCTCGCCTCGCGGCCGCGCTCATGCGCAGGGATCTGGGCGCGCCGGAAGAGAGACGGCGGCTGAGGCGGAGGGCCCAGACACGGTCGCGCCCCAACAAAATCCGGACGGGAGGTCTTCGGCGATGTTCGGCCTCGGAGGGGGCCCTCGCCGGGCCTCGGGACCGCCCAAAAACGACTCGGGATGGCCGGTCCGGCGGAAAGGGTCGGGGCTTCCACGGACCCCGCACTGAAGAAATCCGGACGTCGCATGTCTGGGGATCGGCCTCGAGGCGCCGCGCCCACGCCTGGCGCCCGCCGGCGCTCGCAGGCGACCGGGCGCGGCGCGCCGGGAGAGCGGGGCGCCAGGGGCCCCGCTGGAGGCGCCCCGGGGCTGGAGCCAAAAGGGCGGCGGGCGCCTCTCGGAAGCAGCTCCGAGGCCCCTTGGGGGCCTCCTGGTGGCCTCTCAGGGGCCGCCCGGGGGCCTCTGGGGGCTTCCGGGGGGGGGCTTCTGCCGAGGGCTCGCCATGTCCGTTCGGGTCCCCCGTCTGAGCCCCCTCCTGGAGCCGTCTGGGGGCCGTCTTGGGCCGTCTGGGGGCCGTCTTGGTGGCCCCTCGGGCCGTCCTGGGGCGGTCTTGAAGGCCTCTTCGGCCGTCTAGGGGCGTCTCTGGAAGCCGAAAAGCGAGGACCCCGAAAACCTTCACAGGAAAATGGAAAACAAATGATTGTTGACTCTTGGGGGCCTCTTGGGAGGCCTCTTGGAGACCACTTGGGGCGTCTTGGGAGGTCTCTGGGGCCGTCTTGGGGTCATCCTGGGTGGCTTGAAGCGGTCATTCGGCGACTCGGGGCCCTCCTGGACCGTCGTGGGAGCGTCGTCGGGCCCTCTGAGACCCGAAAAAGTCAAGCGGAAAGACCATGCAAGGGCTAAGGCAACCGCGCCAAGCGCAAGAGGATCTGATAATGTGGGGCCTGGGCCCCTCAAGAATCCTGAATCCAGGGAACTGAGGACTCGAAGAAGGGACCTCAGGACACGCCCACTCCGTGCCCGGAGGATATAATAAGGTCGAGTGTGAGATGGATAGTGGGACCGATAGATCGTGGAACTGTTCGACAGGTAGTGGGTCACGAGTGTGTCATGTGTTTGCCCCGCAGTGACTTCTGGTGTTCCGAAAAGACTCCCAGAGGACCAAACACCACACACACACATATGTCTATGTTTATATGTATATATGTATATAAAGAGATGCATGCATACATACATGCATGCATGCATACATACATACATACATGCATGCATGCATGCATATATACATACATACACGCATGCATGCATACAAACATACATACATACACACATACACTCATACGTACGTGCATACATGCATGCATACATTTGTACGTACATGCATACATACATGTATACATACAAACATGCATGCATACATGCATACATCTGTACATGCATACATACATACATGTATGCATGCATGCATGCATGCATACACAAATATGGATATATATATACACCTATACACCATATACACACGTGTACATATGAATGCATGCATACATACGTACACGCATACATAAACATATGCATACATACATACAAATAAACCTAATATCTGTATGCATACATACATTCATACATACACACATACGCACACGAATACATACAGACATAAATATATACCTGCAGGCATACGTGCATGCATGCATGCATGAATACAAACGAACATACATAGATATATCCATACATAAAGACATACATGCACACACATGCATACATACATACATACGTACGCACGTACGTACATACATACATACATGCATACATACATATACATGCATGCATGCATACATACGTACATACCTGCATGCATGAATGCATGCATACATGCATACATACATGCATGCATGCATACCTAATCACATACATAAATACACACATACGTACATGCATGCATGCATGCATGCATACATACTGGCATACAGACAGGCAGACAAACATACAAACAGAGTCCCTTACCTATATTTTATAATCCGGGGGTGTGCGAACCCCCCCCCCGAAACGGGACCCCCCGGATCCGTGGCACGGGGGAAGGCCGGAAATCCTTGCCAAGGCGTGCACGCGGGCGGGTGGCAGTCCCAAATCGATCGGCGAAAGGCCCAGAGCAACCCAAGACGGTCGAGGATGGCAACCAGCTAGCCTTGGCCCCCGCCGGATGCCCGAGGATCACCCCAATGTCACCCCGAAGAGGCGTTCGCACCCCAAAAATATTAATGTTTCATTGGTTTTGTATGATTCTCGGATACTCGCTCATTCGGCCTTCCACGCGTCCGAGAACGTTGGAAACGCACTGACAACCGCTCCTAGACGGCCCAAATGAGCCCCATGAGCGCCCGCCTTGGCCCTCGTCGGATGCCCTGAGGCGACCCAAGAGGTACCTCCAAGACGCGCTCGAACCCGAAAAACATTGATGTTTCAATCATGTTGTAAGATGTGCCTGCATGCATACATACATGCATGCATGCATACACACATACATGCATGCAGGCATACAAATATGCATGCATGCAAACATACATAATCATGTATAGACATACCTACATGCATCTATACAGACAGGCTTGCATACATACAAACACTACTACCCGCAAACATGCATGCATGCATGCATACGTATAAACAAACAAGCAAACAAACAAACGTACATACATACATGCGTGCATACATACATACATGCATGCATGCATGCATACAAACATACAGACGCACATACTTGTACACATGCACACACCCCTACAGATCCACACATACATACATACATGCATGCATGCATACATGCATAGATACATACATACATACATACATACATACATACATGCATGCATGCATGCATGCATGCATACATACATACATACATGCATACCGATTTGCCTGTATGCATACATGCATTCATGCACACACTCATACATACATACGTACATACATGCATGCATGCATGCATGCATACATACATACATACATACATGCATACAGCCATACAGACATACGGACATACAGACATACCTGCATGCATGCATACATGCATACATGCATACATGCATACATGCATACATGCATACATACATACAGAGAGACAGACAGGCAGACTGACTGACTGACTGTGTACAGTTGTACATCTGTATGTGCATCGCGCACGTGTGATGTATGAGTATGAATCCACGGTGCGTACGTACATGGCTGTGCGTGTCACTTAGTCGCACAAATCTGCATGATCGTCACGCATGACATATGATGTCAGGCTTGTCTAACAGACACTACATACGTGTGGCGGGTCTATGATAGACCACTGCACCGTCGTGTAAACCATGTGCACCGCGAACTATGGGAGCATTCGGGACTATGCATCTAGACATGTGTTAAGCGTAGTCGGATTGCATATGAACGCGCGCTTCGGAGATAGGGTGGCGGAGGACGAGGAGGATGCCATCGCCTGCCATGGGGGGCCCGGAGGGGGGGAGAGGGGGAGGGGGACCGACGAGAAAGAAAAAAGCGAGGCCTAACCAAAGGCAAGCCGACCTTCCACCGCCCCCCGGGATCCCGTGACGAAGATGGGGCCGGAACGGGCTGCCCCAGGCCAGCCTGGGCCACGCCACAGGAGAACGGGCCGGCCACGGAACAGCCCCTCAGGGCAGGGTCAGCCAGAGGAGATAGGTTCGGCGGACCCTCATGAGATGACCCTCACCACCTGCGCCCGGAAGGATGATGCGATGAGGGGCAACGAAAGGGGGGGATTGGCACAGGCGGGGACACATCGACCTCGAATGGCTGATACATCGCCCCCGTATCGTCAACGAATCGTCGACGCAGGCCGACCATGCATCGTCGATACATCGTCGATACACCGCCCATGTATGTCGTTGGGCAGTCGGGCGGCGTGTCCTGATGTCAACGATCCATCGCCGATGCATCGTCGATGCATCAACCCTTCGGGGTCGATGCGCATCCCCCCTAGGCCTAGCCACCCCCGTATCGCTGCCTCTGGGCACACTTCTCCTAGCCGGGCCGAGCCATACAGGTGCACGAAGCACCCGGTCTCGCTGGCCGCCTGCAGCACCGCCGCCTCCCCCTCGGCGCCCATCTCGTTCCTGGTCAGGTCCAGCGTCCGCAGGCGGGGCGCGCAGGGCAGCGCCGCGGCCAGCGCCTGGGCGCCCGCGGCGCCGAGCGCGTTGCCGGCCAGGCGCAGCTCCTGCAGGGCCGCCATGCGGGGCAGCGCTGCCGCCAGCGCCCGGGCGCCCTCGTCGCCGAGGGCGTTGCCGGAGAGGCCCAGCACCCGCAGCCCCAGCATGCAGGGCAGCGCCTCGGCCAGGGCCCCCGGGCCGATCTGGCAGCCCGCCAGGTAGAGCCTCTCCAGGTGGGCGCAGTGCTGGAGGTAGCTGGCCAGCCCCGCGGCCTGCGCGGGCGTCGTGGGCGGCATCCCGTCGAAGTCCAGCACCGTCACCCCGCCCAGCTGCGCGCGGCTCATCCTGCAGAAGAGCGCCTTCACCGCCTCCCGGTCCGCGCCGTTCGTGAAGGACCTGCCCTCGACGAGCACGCTGAACTGGTCCGGGCCCACGGGCCAGCCCCTCCCGGCCTTCAGCGACCCGGTCCTGTCCCCGAGGTCGATTACGGAGTCCCATTTCACGTCGAAGCGGTGGACCTTCTTGATCTGCTCGGCGGAGCAGCGCTCGTAGAGGGTCCACCCTGACTGGTCGTATCCGCTCTCGCGTGCGCTGCCCCGCTCCCGCGGGTGCTGCGTCAGCAGGAAAACGGTGGTGCACTGGTGGGCGTACCAGAGGTCCATGGTATTGGTGAGCGGTTTCTTATTCGACGTTTCGACATTGGGCGGAAGGGGGGGTGCGGGAGGGGGGGGCCTGGCTCTGGGCCTCTGCTCAATGCGACTGTTTGCAACACTGCGTCCGATGGGGGAGACCCCACCAGCTTGAAACAGGAGCCAAAAGCAGTCAAAATCTACTCCAACGGTGGGGGAGGGGGGGTGCGAGGGCCCGCGCCGATCGGCAAAACAAAGAATAAGAAAACGATCACTTGTGCAGGGCGTGCTTGAACGCCGCCTTCTCCGCCGGAGTCCGCTTGGCGTCGTCCGCGGCCTGCTGGGCGACCTCCTGACTCCTGCCATCCCTGAGAGCGGCACACTTCGCGTTGTTGGCTTTGACGGAGTCGGGCTGCAGCAGCGAGATCCAGTCCCAGAACACGCCCATCTCGCTGATGCCCTTGAAGTGTCCTTCGGGTCGGGCGTATTTGCTGCACTGGGCCTCCAACGTGTCGATCACCAAGTTCAGCTGCAGCCCTTTGGGGTCGGGATGCTCAGGCGTGTCCCAGCAGAATGAAATCGTAATGATCGGGACGACCCGATCGCACCCTCCTCGCCCGCTGGATTCCCACACGGCCTGAAGCTCGTCTGCAGACACGAAGGCCGCCTCGGGTAACTCTTGGCGCCTTCTCAGTACCGAGCCGCGCTGCTGCAGCAGCCACGACATGCGGACCAGGCGTACAGGATGGTGGCCATCATTGGCGGCGTGCACAAGGGAGTAGGGGGAGGGGGGAGGGCCTCTTGAAGAAGGCTGCTTCTCAGAAGGCGCAGGCCTTACATCTGTAGACAAGGCCCGCGCCTTCTGCGAAGCAGGGGTGCTTCTGAGAATCGCCGAGCGCGTTCCACTACTCGTAAAGTGCCTACTCGCAAACCTCCGAAGAACATCTGTCTGCTTTGATGTACTTCATCGTAGATCGCCAGCGGGGGATCCCGGCCATTTGCGGCTAGTCACGTTGCGAGCAGTGGCACGCGCTCGTCGAGAGCAGCCCCCCCCTCCCCTCTGCCCCCCTCTGCGCGCGGCCGGCATCCACCGTGAAGGCGAGCGCAGCGAAGAGGCTGTAGGCGTCCGTGTACCGCTCCAGGTGGACGAGCTCCTCGGCCGGCAGCACCGGGCCCGACTCCAGGCACACCTCCAAGGGGCCCGGGGACGCACGAAAAAATACACACTGATAGCAGCATTCCCCATATCTTCCAATATTTTCTGGGCTTTTGTCTTCCCCCCCGCTTCCCATGTTTTCCCACATTTTCTGTGGAGTCGACGTTCAATTGTGTCTGTCTGTTTTCTCCCCTCCAGGCACACCTCCAGGCCGTCCACGCGGCACTCGGTCCCCTCCGCCGCCTGGTGAAGCGCTACAGCACCCTCGGCGCCTATCCAGTTGCGGCTGAGGTGCAGCCTCTCCAGCGCGTGCCTCGGCGCCGCTGACGCCGCCCTCTTGAGACCCGACCCCTCTGGCTCCACCTCTGACTCCGCCTCCTCTGGCCAAGCCTCCTCGGACTCGGCCTCCACGGTGGCCGCCGCCTGGGCACCCGGAGCCAGCGCGGCGAACAGCGCCCGGGCCAGCGCCGCGGCGCCCACGTCCCCGACCCGGTTGCCTGCCAGCCCCAGGTCCTGCAGCGACACCGCCTCTGGCAGCACCAGGGCGATCTCCGCGGCACCCCTGTCGCCGATCTGGTTGTTGGCGAGCTCCAGAACCTGCAGCTCTCGCGCTGCGGGCAACGCCCAGGCCAACGCGGCGGCGCCCTCGTCGGAGATGCGGTTGCAGTAGAGGCCCAGGATCGTCAGGCTCTCGGGCAGCGCCGACGCCAGCGCCGCGGCGCCCTCGTCGTCGATGTTCAGAGGAGAAAAACAGTCGGACTTGATTGGACAGGACACCCGAGAGGACACAAGACTCTTCTGCCAGCAACGTGGCCCCAGGACACCAAAGGACATGCGGGTTGCAACAGGTCGGGGTGGAGAGGACCAAAGGGCACCCTCGATTTGGCATGGTCGACCTACCAATCAGGGCCGACTGCAGAGACCACCGCCGCTGAGAATCCATCAGGCGTGCCCCCGCCCAGGGGTCGGACCCCCCACGATGGTGGGTTCTCGGAGGCGGTGGCCTCTGCTTCTCCGCTGAGATGTCGTTGCCGCCCAGCCCCAGCACCTCTGCGGAAACCACAAGGAGGTGCCGATACCGCTGCTCCCCGGACCTGTCCTGGGGTGCGGTCTGACCAGGATTTCGAGGCGAATCCAGCGGTGGCGTCGAGGGCCTCCCAAGAGGCCCAGAAAGTGGAAATCGAGGGGAGCGCAGCGGTATGGGTACGGCAGGACCTATGACAGAATAGCATCCTTCAAGAACACGAGACCCTCCGCCGGCCCAAACTGAAGAACATTCGAGGGCATCCTCCCCAAGGGTGCACAAGAGCATCCAACAAGCACGAGGAACATCAGGGCACCCTCCCCGAACCGACCTCGATCGAGGAGGAGGAGGTGGAGGAGGAGGAGGAGGAAGAGGAGGAGGAGCAAAATCAGGAGGAGAAGGAGGAGAGAGAGGAGCAGGAGGAAAAGCAGGAGGAGGAGGAGGACCGTACCTTTCCTCCTCTGAACCTCGAGCCCTGCAGGCAGCCCCCCGGCCAGCGCCCGCGCGCCGCTGCCGCCGATGCGGCTCCTGTCCAGGCGCAGCACCTGCAGCTCCGCCAGCTCCGGCAGCGCCCCCGCCAGCGCCGCGGCGCCCCCGTCGCCGACCTGGCACTGCGAGAGGTCCAGGGCCTCCAGCTGTGGCGAGGCGGGAGAATGAGCACAGCCACTGCTTCTTGTTTGCGCCGCCTTCCAGCCGGCCGAAAGAGAAGCAGTGGTTGTGGTCATTTCCCTGGTGCCGAGCTCAACGAACATGACCACAGCCACTGCTCTGTTTCTGCTGGCTGGAAGGCGGCAACCAAAGAAAAGCAGTGGCCGTGGTCGTTTTCACGCCCCGTAGTTGTGGATGCCATGACGATGGACACTCTAACAGTCCTACAGTCCTATCCTTGAGTTGAAAATGTGTTTACACTGTAAAAGGTTTCAATGTTCAATAAATGCTCTCGCAAGCTTCAGGCACGTTTGAAACACGTGTCAGGCATGTGGAAATGACTCGGCAACATGCCTCCTCCCCCTGAAGCCGTCTTGCACAAGCCTCCAGGCGCCCGAGCTGCGGCAGGCAGCGGCAGAGCCCGGCCATCTGCTCGCGCGTGGGCGTGGGCATGAATGCAAGGTGCAGCAGCCGCACGCAGTCGAGGTCCTCCGCCTCGTTCTCATACATCCGCTCGTGCCCTCCTCGGCGAGACGGGAGGAGGTTTTCCACCACCGCCACCACGAGGCCTCTGCCAGAGGCCTCTGCCAGAGGCCTGGCCTGGTGGTGGCGGATGCCGTCCCTCGCCACAGAACCTTCGACGTCCTGGCGCATGCAATCCCAAAAGTTATTTTGCGGCTCTCGATCCGATCTTTCGAGCGGGCATCGCGCCCCTGACGGTCTTCTGCAGGTCCCAGGGACCCGAATGGGGGGGAGGAGGAGGAGGAGGAGGAGGAGGAGGAGGAGGAGGAGGAGGAGGAGAGGAGGAGGAGGGGGAGGAGGAGGAGGAGGAGGAGGAGGAGGAGGAGGAGGAGGAGGAGGAGGAGGAGGAGGAGGAGGAGGGAGGAGGAGGAGGAGGGGAGAAGGACGAGGGGGAGGAGGAGGAGGAGGAGGAGGAGGAGGAGGAGGAGGAGGGAGGAGGGGGGGGAGGAGGAGGAGAGGGGGAAGAGGAGGAGGAGGAAGAGGAGGAGGAAGAGGAGGAGGAGGGAGATGACGACGACGACGACGACGACGACGACGACGACGACGACAACGAAGACGACGACGACGACGACGACGACGACGACGACGACGACGACGACGACGGAAACGACGACGGAAACGACGACGACGACGACGACGACGACGGAGACGACGACGACGACGACGACGACGACGACGGAAACGACGACGACGACGACGACGACGACGACGACGACGACGACGACGACGACGGTGGGGCCTCGAATGGGGCCTCTGGGGGACCAATCTCAAAACCGCCAGCCACCTTGATCTCGTCCCGGATGCCCGAGGTTGGGTCTCCTTGAAGGAACAGAAACGTGCCGATGCTGGTAGCCTCGCGGAGCCCCTCCCGAGGAGCGCTCCGACAAGGCTCCCGAGGAGCGCTCCGACAAGGCTATCCTTTGCTACCCCCCTTCCAAAGGGAGGGGATAGCAAACGGTAGGGTAGAGAATCAGCTCACGTAGCTGATTTTCCCAGCGCCTCCCGGCGCCGGGAGACGCCCATGTATCGAGGAATGGGCCTGGCGGCGGGGCCGAAACCAGCTGCATGCAGCAGATTTCGCAACCCCCCCTTTCCCTATCCCCCCCCCTTCGTTCGGCCCGAACCCACGCCCACCCCCCAGGGGGCCCAACAAGAAGGAAGACGATGGAAAGGCATCGGTGCTGGTGTCTCTTTCCTCTTCGCCTCCCCCCACCAACAAAACGGCAGCACCATATCTGAAGTTTAGGTCTGGCGTGTCCCCCTACAGGCAGATTTTGGAGGACAACTAAAGCATACCCAACGAATGCTCAAAAATGGTCAAACCACGGTCGAAAAATCGTCCCCACGCGAATTGTTTGACTATATTTGGATATTCCTCCTGTATGGGCATCATTTAACCGACCTCTATCCCCGTGACCGTGGCCTGGGCCCCAATGGCCGATTGACCCCCTGGATGGGGATAGCTAGGCCGTCCCCTTCGGGTTTCGAGGCGTGTCTATCCGAAACCGGGGCGCAAGGATGCAGGGGGTCTGGGATGGGGATGGGGACGGGGGATGGGGATCGGTGAAGCGCTATCGACTGTAGAGGGACGTGCCCGACTTAGCCTTAAGCCCCCGAAGCCCTCGCGGGGCCCTGCCCGGCTGCAGCCTGCTGCAGGTGCTGCGGAGAGCGGCCGGAAGAGACGCTCAGGGGGGCCCGCCACGGCCCCCGCCACGGGAGGCCACCCCACGGGAGGCCGCTGTTCTTCTATCCCCTGGTGATCACGACCGTGACAGGGAAGGATCCTTGATCCATTGAGGAGGAGGAGGAGGAGGAGGAGGAGGAGGAGGAGGAGACGGAGGCGGCGAAGGAGGAGAAGGAGAAGGAAGAGGAAGAGGAAGAGGAGGAGGAGGAGGAGGAGGAAGAAGAAGAAGAAGAGGCGGAGGAGGCGGAGGAGGCGGAGGACGAGGACGAGGACGAGGACGAGGACGGAGGAGTATCCTTTCTATGGCGGCGCGCAGGCCTCACATCTGTCGACAGGCTTCGCGGCTTCTGAGAAGCAGGGGTGCTTCCAAGAAGCCTTCCCCCCTCCCCCTACCCCCCTCTGCGCGTGGCCGATTTCTCCTGCGGAGGCTCATCGTCAGCCTGTCACGAGCACACGTCGGGACGCACGATGCGTCCCGTGCGTGCAGAAAAAGAAACCTGCTGGGGGGCCGGAGGGGGCCATCTGGGAAGGCTCGGGACAGACCAGAACTCCCAGCCGTCGCCGGCGCGCAGGAAAGGGGCGGAGGAGGAGGAGGAGGAGGAGGAGGGCGCGGGGCCGGTCACGGGCGCCATCGCGAAGCGTGCAACGACGGGCTCCAGGCCGAAAACTCGGTGAGGAACCTCCCGTGGCACCCTCTGCCTGCCTCTGCTCTCTTGGCTCCCCGTCTCCGAACCCGGGGTCCCCGCCACGGTGCCCCAGCCAGTCGTACCCGAAGCCCGCGACGAGGCGGCCCAGGGTGTCTGGCCGGGTGCTGCTAGGAGTGTCCCTGGCCCAAGGTACCCCCAGCTTTTCGCTCCATTTGTGGGCCCCTGGGGCACTCTGGGCCTCGTGAGGGGTGCTCTGGGGTGGGACACACAAAGACATACCAGTGCTACATGTTTTCCTTGGAGATGCGCTTCCGACCCAAAATCATATTATACCCATCTTGTAGTACATCGCCTCCCGAGCGACGTGGCCAGAAGGCGCCCGCCACGACGCACATACTACAAGATTTCTCGGTGCGCGCATCGCCCCCGGGGGCGACGCACATATAGTATAACCCAGACCCCCGACGTCATGACTTTTTCATTACGTCGACCCCTGGAGGTCCCGACCCTTTCCCGTGGACCGGTTTTTCGTCCTGAGTCGTTTTTTGACGGTCCCGAGGCCTGGCGAGGGCCCCCCAAGGCCGAACATAGCGACGAACCTCCCGTCCTGACTTCGTCATTGCCCGAAGGGGGCCCTGGAAGTGTGCTGGGGCGACGCCGAGGGAGGCCGCCTGGGCCACCCCGAGAGTCCTGGGGGGGGCACCCTGGGGCCCAGGGGCACTTCTGGCAGCACCCGCCCTGGGCCCGTCGGCCACGCCCTCTCTGTCGGCAGCGCCCGCGCCTCGGGAGGGGGCCGGCGGCGGAGCAGCGGAAGGAAGGGGGGGGTTCACCGGCCCCGAACGCATCCCGACCCAGACATGCTCGCGTCGTATAAAAAAAATCAGGACGGGAGGTTTTGGGCCATTTTCGGCCTCGGGAGGCCCTCGCCGGGCCTCGGGACCGTCAAAAAACGACTCGGGACGAAAAACCGGTCCTGGGGAAAGGGTCAGGAATTCCAGGGGACTCCCCGTATTGAAAAAATCAGGACGTCGCATGTCTGGGGACGTCTAAGGTCGGCAAGCCCAAGGCGATGACAGTCTCAGGGATGTGCTCTCAGACACTGCAGGAGTCCTGAAGATCGGCACCAGGGAAAGGTGGTCTCAAACATAGCGTCGCGAAAGAGACACGACGGAGGGGGGGGGGTCGGGCCTCTGGAGCTGTGTCGGGCCAGGGCCCTACAGGGCCGTGATCAAGAAGCTTTGCATGTGTCCCCCGCGAAGCTATGTTTTGAACACCCTGCAGCGCACGGAAAGTTCCCTGCCAGCTTCCCACGGGGCTATGAAACAACTATGATGCAGGTCGGCGGGGAATTTCTAAACCTCTCAAAACCCTACGGGGGAACTATGTTGGAGTACCCGCGCAGCACATTAAACAAACTATACAGTAGCATCAAGATGCTGAAGGGATGTTTTGGGCACGTTCGCCATAGTGTAGGATTAATAATAAAATCCTGGCGGGCCCACCCCAGACACGATAACGACTGACGAGTAGAACCCCATAGGGAACTCAACCAAAGGCCCCAGTGGCAGGGTCCGCATGCGTCCCCCCCCCATTTGCACACCCCTCATGAGGATCTTGGCCCCATAGGAAGCTCCATCGAAGGCCCCAGCGGCAGGGTCCAGAAGCGTCCCCCGCCCGTTTCGGCACACCTCTCACGAGGATCGTGGCCCCATAGGAGACTCCACCGAAGGCCCCAGTGGCACAGTCCGTGTGCGTACCCCCGCCCATTTCGGCACACCCCCAAACGAGACTCGTGGCCCCATAGGGAGCCCTACCGAAAGCGGTACCCACGACGTGGTATTCACAGCTGCGTATGGTTGGGCCCTTCGCCAGGATAACGTTCACAACGCAAGGACGTCAGGGAAATGGAGGCCCATCCGCCGCCGCCCCTCCATCGGCGAGGCATGGGCGACGTCGGCGATGCACCGCCGCCGTCGGCGTGGAGAATCTCGCACTCCACATCAAGCCGCATCGCCGACGCATCCGCGATGCAGCGCGATCCTCCGACCCCGCGGCCAGGGGGTCTGAACTTGATGGGCCTAGAACAAAAGTCTGTCAAGAACTGAGAGAAGGGCAAATCCGTTCGAATTGGGTCCCTGGCCAGAATCCGCCTGGAGCAATTTTTTCCCCCACGTGTTTCGTTTGGGTGGGATGATCGTTTTCTTCTCTGCCGCGTCGCACCCGCGCCTCCTCCTCCCCCCTCTCTTTCCTTCTTGCTTGCACAAACGCGTCTACATACAGTCACGCACACACACAACATAACATACAATGATCGTGCACACCTGGCGTGTTCACTGCATCATTCACCCAAGACGTGTGCACCACATGCTGGGCATCCACATGAAACACACGCCCACATACAGCCGCACACGCATCATACACATGACACGGAAAGTGTGGCAGGCGTGTCACTTTCTCGACACCATAGGGGGTGCGCAGGAGGTGGTCTCTGAGCGCGGTCTCTATACGGTCCAGGCTCGGGAACTGGCAGGCGTGGCACTTGCTTGACACCATAAGGGGTGCGCAGGGGGGGTCTCTGAGCGCGGTCTCTATACGGTCCAGGCTCGGAAAGCGTGGCAAGGGTGGTAAGTTCTTGACACCAGAAGGGGTGCGCAAACCTTGGTCTCTGAACGCAGTCTCTACACTGTCCAGGCTCGGAAACTGTGGCAGGCGTGGCAATTTCTTGACACCAGGGGGTGCGCAGGGGGGGTCCCTGAGCGCGGTCTCTATACGGTCCAGGCTCGGAAAGCGTGGCACGCGTGACAATTTCTTGACACCGGGGGGGGCGCAGGGGGTGGTCTCTGAGCGCGGTCTCTGTACGGTCCAGGCTCGGAAAGTGTGGCAGGAGTGGCAGTTCCTTGTTTGACACCAGAGGAAGTCTAGACACCTTAGGGGGTGCGAAGAGGGTGGTTCCTGAGAGCGGACTTGATACGGTCCATGCTCGGAAAGTGTGGCACGCGTGGCATTTTCTCGACACCATAGGGGGTGCGCAGAGGGTGGTCTCTGAGAGCGGTCTCTATACGGTCCGGGCTTCGAAAGTGTGGCAGGGGTGTCACTTTCTCGACACCATAGGGGGTGCGCAGTGGGTGGTCTCTGAGCGAGGTCTCTATACGGTCCAGGCTCGGGAACTGTGGCAGGCGTGGCAACTTCTTGACACCATAAGGGGTGCGCAGGGGGGGGTCTCTGAGCGCGGTCTCTGTACGGTCCAGGCTCGGAAAGCGTGGCAAGGGTGGTAAGTTCTTGACACCAGAAGGGGTGCGCAAACCTTGGTCTCTGAGCGCAGTCTCTACACCGTCCAGGCTCGGAAACTGTGGCAGGCGTGGCAATTTCTTGACACCAGAGAGGGTGCGCAGGGGGTGGTCTCTGAGCGCGGTCTCTATACGGTCCAGGCTCGGGAACTGGCAGGGATGGCAGTTCCTCGACACCAGAAGGAGTGCCCCGGGGGGTGGTCTCTGAGCGCGGTCTCTGCACGGCCCAGGCTAGCAAAGTGTGGCAGGGGTGGCAGATTCTTGACACCAGAGGGAGTGCGCAGAAGGCGGTCCCTGAGCGCGGTCTCTACGGTCCAAGGTCGGTAAGTGTGGCAGGGGTGGCAGTTTCTCGACGCCCTTGGCACTCAGTCTCCCAAGGCTTGACCAGCGTCACCGACGGTATCGGCGGGGCAACGGCCACCAGCATCATTCTCGCATGTTTCACTTCAGCTATCATCACTCCAGACATAATGTAAGTATGTGGGGTCCCTCGGCAGCGCAATTCACCGCGGATCCGTTTTTTAACGGTCACGGTCCCGAAAAAACGGCCCCCGAATACAGAAAAAGGCCAACAAGCCTTCTCGAACCCAGAACCTCGGATCTGCCCCCGCCTCCCTCCTGCTGGCCAGAACCCGTGCTGGGCCACCTCAGACCCCCAGCTGGCTCCAAGGAGGAGGACGGGGAGGAGCCCGAAGACCGAGGACGCTTGAGTTGGCGGCGCGCAGAGGGGGGGTAGGGGGAGGGGGGGAGGCATCTTAGAAGGGGCCACTTCTTAGAAGGCGCCGGCGTTACATGTATAGAGAAGGCCCGCGCTTCTGAGAAGCAGGGGTGCTTCTAAAAAGCCTTCCCCCCTCCCCCTAAACCCCCCTCTGCGCGTGGTCGATCAAGACGGCCGACGGCCGATGACCTAACCTCTTCGCTCTGGGCAGCCCCACGCATCGCCCGCGCGCACCGATACTGAGTGCCCCCTTTAAACCTTCGAGGATCTTCTGACGTGGGTCAATCCAGACCCGGGTCAGTCAGGCCTTGCAGGATACTTCAAGATCCTGCAGGATCCTGCACCCAAACCCGGTTCAATGCACCCCTTGCCCTGCAGGATTCTGCAAGATCCAGCGCTCTGAACCCCCGTTTGCACTGACACCCGTCTTTTGAGTCCCGAAGCCTGCGCAACCGACAAGGTCCGGCTATGCAAGGACGGGGTGGGGAGGGCGGGCCCGATAAGCCAGGTTACCGCCAGACGCCGAATAAAAAATTAGCCTGACGAAGGACCCAACCATATGCAGGTGTGAGTACCGCAATTGTGATTCACTTTTTCGGTGGTGATCACTATGAGGCAACGAACCGTGCTAGGGGTGTGCCGAAATGAGTGGCGTGGTACACATCGCACTCTATCATCATCTTCGTCATCATCATCATCATCATCATCATCATCATCATCATCATCACCATCATCATCACCGTCATCAGCATCATCATCAGCACCATCATCATCATCATCATCATCATCATCATCATCATCATCATCATCATCATCGTCGTCGTCGTCGTCGTCGTCGTCGTCGTCGTCGTCGTCGTCGTCGTCGTCGTCGTCGTCGTCGTCGTCGTCGTCGTCGTCGTCGTCGTCTCGTCCCGTCGTCGTCGTCGTCGTCGTCGTAGTCGTCGTCGTCGTCGTCGTCGTCGTCGTCGTCCGTCGTCGTCGTCGTCGTCGTCGTCGTCTTTTTCGTTGTCGTCGTCGTCGTCGTCGTCGTCGTGGTCGTCATCATCGTCTTCGTCCCCCTCTCCTCCTCCTCCTCCTCATCCTCCTCCTCATCCTCCTCCTCCTCCGACCTCCTCCTCCTCCTCCTCCTCCGTTCCTTCGCAGCCCACTCCGTTCGTCCTCCTCAGAACTCCGACGGCCTCCGACGGCGGTGTACTGGGTGGGGAGACGCATGCGGCCTGCGCCACGGGGACCTTCGGTGGAGCTCCCTATGGGGCCACGACACGCTGTACTGGGCGGGGGAAGCGCATGCGGACTGCGCCACGGTGACCTTCGGTGGAGCTCCCTATGGGGCCACGAAACGCTGTACTGGGTGAGGGAGACGCATGCGGACTGCGCCACTGGGACCTTCGGTGGGGCTCCATATGGGGCCACGAAACACTGTATTGGGTAAGGAAGACGCATGCGGACTGCGCCACGGGGACCTTCGGTGGAGTTCCCTATGGGGCCACGAAACGTGTGGGGGGGGGGTCGAAATGAGTGGCGGGGACGCATGCGGACTGTGCCACTGGGACCTTCGGCGGAGCTCCTATGGGGCCACGAAACGTGTGAGGGGTGGGCCGAAATGAGTGGCGGGGACGCATGCGGACTGTGCCACGGGGACCGTCGACGGAGCTCCTATGGGGCCACGAAACGTGTGAGGGGTGGGCCGAAATGAGTGGCGGGAACGCATGCGGACTGTGCCACTGGGACCTTCGGCGGAGCACCTATGGGGCCACGAAACGTGTGAGGGGTGGG